AAGAATATTTTTTCAAGGACTAACAGACCAATAGGCGTGGATTTTTTAAAGAATATTTTTTCAAGGACTATCAGACCATTAGAAAAAATTTTTTTTAAGAATATTTTTCAAGGACTATCAGACCATTAGGAAAAGATTTTTTTGAGAATATGTTTCAAGGTCTATCAGACCATTTGGAAAAGATTTCTTTAAGAATATTTTTCAAGGACTATCAGACCAATAATATTTTAAAAATATCTGTTAATGGTCTATCAGAAGAGTTGATTTTTGAAGAAATATTTGTTCATGGACCATCACAAGAGTTCATTTTTGAAGGAATATTTTTCAAGGACTATCATAAGCGTGAATATTTCAAATATATTTTATGAAATTACTTTTCTTATAACCCCATAATACACAATGGAATTTCCTGTGTTTTGTTTTTGGCATTTTCCTCAATATTGGAAACAAATGCTCTTTTTGGCTACACAATTTAGCAGACAAATAACAATTGTTATAACTACATTACTTTGGGCGTTATCCTTCACATATGTGTGCTTGTGTGTGGGGGAATGTGTGCCCCTTCGCCCCAGTATTCAGTATTGTTTAACCTTTTATATTTTGCCGATTGGTCGATTGTTTGAAGTTCTTTTGCTAAATTGGGCCAAACAAAACGAGCCATCCAAGCATCTATCCAGTCATTCGTTTAGTAAATATGGCGGCGGTTTGGGCATTCACTGGTACTCGGTTTGTGAGTGCATGATGATAAATTGAAAATTCAATTTCGATTATTGAACATTTTTGTAATGGGAGTTTAACAAAACAAGACACACACTCACAAATAATATTTGAGATATATCATAAATGTTGTTAGAGTTGTTCCTTTGCCAAAAGCCAAAATGTGAAATTAAATACCAAAAAAAAAAAAAACAAACAAAAAACAGAAAGGTATATGGTGGTGGATTGGCACCAACTGTTAGAATTCCATAGCGGACTACTTTTTCTGGGGCATTATTTATGAAATGAACAGGGGAAATTGTAAATTTTAAAAAACAATGTAGAAAATTGGCCGAATTCAAAGGGATGTGGCTTAAGGGTGACATTTTTCATTTAAAAGGTCAAATTATTTTTCCTTTTGCAAACGAGTATTTACTATTGTAAAAAATAATATCCCTTCAATCAAAAATGAAAAAGAAATAATCTTTAAATATCCCAAAAATTCATTTATTTAAATTACTTTTGTAATTGAAGAACATAATAATGACAATAACAGTAATAAAGCCCACTGCGTATCTCTTCTCATTTCATTTATTAAATTCCTATTAAAGATTGATAATTTAATGTGTTATTAAATACTCTATTGTATTAAGATGAGGGCTTTGTTGCACCAATGTTTGTTTGGCGTGTGTGTGAGTGTGTTTGTCTGTGCAACTTTGTGTGCAAAAGTTTAATTTTTATTAATTATATGTCATTTTATAGCATATCCATTAACATATGTAAACAGAAAAAAAATGTCCATATGTGTACATACTCTTAAATGAGGACAAGTTCGCAAACAACTGAAAATATATATCCTATAAGCCATGGCAAATTGGGTAATAATATAAGGGTGGACAAAGAACATCAGTATCAGTATATTCCGCTATTAGAGCCACAAGTGTTGATTTCCAAATATATTTTTCTGAAGGGCTATCAGAGGCAGAAATCTGTATTTTTATTATTATTTTTTTTAATTATTTTTCTAAGGCCTATCAGAGTCAGAAGCGTGTTCTTTTAAATAAATTTTCCCAAGGACTAACAGAGCCAGAAGTGTTGATTATTAAATATATATTTCTCAGGGACCATCAGAGACAGAAGCTTGGAATTTTGAATTTTTAAATATGTTTTCTCAATGACCAACAGACCCAGAAGCGTAGATTTTTGAATATATTTTTTTTAATAACCAACAGACCCAGAAGCTTAAATTTTTAAAATATATTTTTTTAATAACCAACAGACCCAGAAGCTTAGATTTTTAAAATATATTTTCTCACGGACTAACAGAGCCAGAAGCGAGTTTTTTTTAATAGATTTTCTCAAAGACTAACAGAGCCAGAAGCGTGTTGTTTTTGAATAAGTTTTCTCAAGAACTATCAGATTCAGATGCGTGGATTTTTTAAATATAATTTCTCAAGAACTTTTAGATTCATATGTGTGGATTTTTTTTAAATATATTTTCTCAAGACCCAGAAACGTGAATTTCCCAAGAACCAACATAAGCTTTAATTTTTAAAATATGTTTTCAGAAGGTCTAACAGAGCCAGAAGCGTGGACTTTTGAAAATATATTTTCTTAAAGACTGTCAGAGACAGAAGCGTGAATTTCTAAGGATATTATTTCAAGGACTATGAGACCCAGAAGTGTGGATTTTTTCAATGTTTTTTTTCTCAGAGCCACAAACGTGTATTTTTTAAAAATTTTTTCTTAAGGGCTATCTGAACCACATGCGAATTAACATATATTTTCACAAGAACTATCAAAGTCAGAAGCATGGATTTCTATGCATATTTTTAAAGCACTACCAAGGCTAGAAGCGTGGATTTCTATGGATATTTTTAAAGTGAGTGGATGGGTGGATTTTTTATGAATATTTTTCAAAGAATTGTTAGGAATGTTTTTCAAGGACTATGAGAGACAGATGCTAGATTTTTGTTCAGAATATACCTATGACACATATATGATGAGACATTTTTAGGACTATTTTTTATAAGGGCTATTGTAAAATATAATAAAAATTTTCGGAGATTTTTAGGGATTGTTTTATATTTAATATGGGCTCAATAAACGTAATTCTTTTAAGAATATTTTTATAAGGCCTATCAGGCCAGCTTTATTTTTTAAGCATATTTTTATAATGATTGTCGGACCAACATTCGTAGATTTTTATACCCCACACAACTATGTTGTCAGGGTATTATAGCTTTGTGCAGCCCCAAGAGTTTGTATACCGATTGTTATATCTCGACTAGCTGAGTCGATCTAGACATGTGTATCCGTCCGTCCGTCTGTTCGCCTGTCCATTATAACTTGTAAACACGATACAGGCCACAGTTATGGACCAATCTTCACGAAATTTTGCATGTTGGATGGGTTCTGGCAAATGAAGACCCCTATTGTATTGTTAAAGATCGGCTAATATTTAGTTGTTGAAACTTTAATTTTTGTCTGATTTTCCATGAGGGTCCAGGTATGGTCAAGCACAACGCCTGTAATTTTCGGTGATGATCAGATAATAATATTGGGATGAAGTGGACCGAAAACTTATTATTATTATTTTTTTTTTTTTTTTTTGTTTTTTCGATCATACGCCACAATTGAAATCCGAACATAACAACACAATCCACGGTGGAGGTCAAGAGAGTGCAAATATTGCCAAAGATCAGAATATAAAACCACACAAAGTTAGATTTTCTTGAAAGTTGTGTAGGGTATCATATGGTCGGCGCCGTCCGACTATACTGCTCCGCTCACTGGTTTCAGAATAATTTTGTAAGGATTGACGGACGGATTGACAGAACAGAATAGATTAGATTTTTTACAAATATTTTTATGAGGATAGTCAGGGCAAAATACTTGGATTTTTTAATAATACTTTTATAAGCGTTGCTTGATCAACAAATGTAGATTTTTTAAAAATAGTTTTATAAGGATTGTGGGTCGAACAAGGACAGAAGGCCAACAAGTGTAGATTTTTTTATCAATTTTTTTTAATTAGGATTGTCGGACCAGCGATATACCGATATACCATGGACCGTTGCCCCTATATAATGGTACATTCAGTATTGTGTAAACGAAATTTAATATGTTGGATTTGTATTAGATTAAGACTTCATACTAAAAATATTTAATATTTATCTATTTTTTAGTGCAACGCCCATTTAATGGTACCACCCATTATGTGGTATTTTGGGGGTTTAGCTCACGTTTTGTAATGAATTGCTTTAATTTTATATTTTGGAATCTTATTTGGTCTGATAGTCCTTGTAAAATATTCTTTAAAAATTAAGGATTATTTGGTCTGATATTCCTTGAAATAGTATCTTTAAAAATTCATGTTTAATTCGTCCGATTGGGGTTGGAAAAAAATATTCTTTAAAAATCCTTGACAAATCTTCATACTATTTTTTTAATATTTATCTACTTCTTAGGGATACGTCCATATAATGGTACCTCTCATTACCAGGGGAGGTTTTGTACGTTTTATAAAGAATTTCCGTAATTCTATATTTTGGAATCTCATTTGGTCTGATAGTCCTTGAAATGATATTATTAAAAAATCCACGTTTAATTCGTCTGAAAGTCGTTGAAAAAATATTCATTGCAAATCCATGCTTTTTTTACCTGATAGTCCTTGAAAAATATTAATTACAAATCGACGCTTATTTCAACTGATGGGAGCCATTTCATAGTGGCTCTTCTTTGGCCCTTCTTTCTACCAAATTGGCTGTTTGTATTTTCTCATTATGTGTAAAATGTACCTATTAAAATTATGAATATTGGTCCATGTTTTAGTATATCCCCATATAACTATAGTGACAACTTTTGCTATTTTGAAAATTTCAAGGAGATGCCTTTTATTTGTATAATTCAAGGAAGCCTCAAGAATTTAGAGTAATTTTCTTTGGTGACCACCAAATTTAAGTATAGCGTAGTTTGTTTCTATGAATATTTTTGAAGAACTCTGGAAATATCTGCTGTAAATAATGTCCATAATATAAAATTTAATTAATATTGTTTTCGTACTTCCACAATTATTATTTTCCTTCTTCTCCACCCAATATACATTTCCATTAAATTCCACACATCTATCTATCGACATGTATATACATATAGGGATATATAACTTGTATTCATACATATATGCATTAAAGTTTCATATATATGTGTATATACACATATACTTTAATATTATCTCATGGTATCTCATTATTTGTTTTATTATTGTTGTTGTTGTTTTTCCGTATATTTCCACACAGGATCCAGATGCATCATTTGACATTAACGGCAATGATTCGGATCCAACACCACAAGATAATGGCGATAACAAGCATGGCACCAGATGTGCTGGCGAAGTGGCCGGTGTGGCTTTCAATAATTACTGTGGTGTAGGTGTTGCATACAATGCCAGTATTGGTGGTAAGTACACACACACAGAAAACATACTCATATAAATGTTTTTATATAAATAAGTATAGCTTTGTAAGTGTATATTCATATGTATTTTGTTTGATATGAACAATTTTGTGTAATGTCCATTACAATATTTGAAATATTACAAAAAAAACAAAAAAAAATGGAGAACACAGTGCTGTTGATGATTATGGAAATTAATTAAAGTGTATTTATTTTTTTGTAATTTTCTCTCTTTTCGAAATATAATGATTATATTCCGTGGAAACTTAATGCACATATGGGTATTAAAATTACAAATTTTTTCATGTTTGCTATTTTTTATGAGTATTGAAGGTAGTTTTCCCCAAATTAATTGTTAAAAATAATCTTTAAATTTTGATCGTAAATGATGAGCTGAGAAATGTTTATTAAAATATTATAAATAAAGCAAATTCCCTATTGTGTTCAGCGATCAAAAAGGGACTACCAAATACAGCCTTGAATTTTTGGTCTGCCTATTTGATTTTTTGTCAAATTCATAGAGACTGCTTTCTATGTACCAATTCTTCATATTGTTAATAATGGCCTCTAGAACAAGTAGCCAAAAAATCGAAAAGGGTTTATGACACATATGCATACACAATTCTGACCCTAGATGGATGTGAAGTATTAAATATCTCACTCTCCATGATGGTAATTTATAATTAAGTCACGCTGTTCCATAGATAAATATGATTGAGCCTAAATGTGGGAAAATTCTGTTTTACCCACATTATTCTTTCTCCTTTGTAGCTTCCCGTTTGCGCCATTGAAGATAAGAATCCACGCTTATTTGGTCTGATAGTTCTTTAAAATCCACGATTATTTGGTCTGATAGTTCTTGAGAAATATTATTTAAAATCCACGCTTATTTGGACAGATAGCCCTTGGAAAAATATTCTTTAAAAATCCACGCTTATTTGCCCTGATAGGCCTTGAAAAAATATTCTTTAAAAATCCTGATAGTCCTTGAAAATGTATTCTTTAAAAATCCTGATAGTCCTTGAAAAAATATTCTTTAAAAATCCACGCTTATTTGCCCTGATAGGCCTTGAGGAAATATTCTTTAAAAATCCACGCTTATTTGCCCTGAAAAAATATTCTTTAAAAATCCACGCTTATGTGCCCTGAAAAAATATTCTTTAAAAATCCACGCTTATGTGCCCTGAAAAAATATTCTTTAAAAATCCACGCTTATGTGCCCTGAAAAAATATTCTTTAAAAATCCACGCTTATGTGCCCTGAAAAAATATTCTTTAATAATCCACGCTTATTTGGCCTGATAGCCCTTGTAGAAATATTCTTTAAAAATTCTTATTTGCAATTATTTGCTCGGATAGTCCTTGAAAAAAATATTCTTTAAAAATCCACGCTTATTTGCCCTGATAGCCCCTGAAAAAATATTCTTTAAAAATCCTGATAGTCCTTGAAAAAATATTCTTTAAAAATCCTGAAAGTCCTTGAAAAAATATTCTTTAAAAATCCACGCTCATTTACCCTGATAGTCCTTGATAAAATATTCTTTAACAATCCTGATAGTGCTTGAAAAAATATTCTTTAAAAATCCTGATAGTCCTTGAAAAAATATTCTTTAAAATCCTGATAGTCCTTGAAAAAATATTGTTTAAAAATCCACGCTTATTTGCTCGGATAGTCCTTGAAAAAATATTCCTTAAAAATCCACGCTTATTTGCTCGGATAGTCCTTAAAAAAATATCTTTTAAAAATCCACGCTTATTTGGTCTGATAGCCCTTGAAAAAAAATTCTTTAAAAATATCAATTTGCTGAATTTATTACACAATATTTAAACTTTCTTAAAATTACTTAATTTTATTTCAATATTTGCCTACATACCTTGTACACTGTTCACATAACGTAGCTTGCTACCTTGACATATAATTTTTATCGAACCTTATATAACAGGAAATATGCTTATGTAGTAACCATGTCATGAAGTTTTAAACAGGATATGTTACAACACAGACTTACATCACAGCTATGTATTTGTTTGAACACACACAAACAAATGTAATGAATGTAAAATAATTTGTACAAACAACATCCAACTATTTCCATTTACACACATACTATATATGTTTGTATACGTGTGGCATACATACGCCACATATGTCTACAATGTAAACTCACGCATTTTCTGCATATCGCAATGCTCGTTTATTTTCCAACCATTGAAAAAGAAAAGACAGTGGAAAATGCAACGCATAACTGGGCGGCCGATTTTGCATAAAGCACACACACAGACTTTACGTGGCGCCTCATTCGCATGAGTACCACAAACACTTCGCGCATAAAACTACTGCTACTATTGTTAAATAGAACAACAAAAATGTCATTCATATTGGTAGCGAAAGATAACAAACATGCCGAGCGAACGAACAAGCAATGCCTACCGCCGCCTCTCCTATTGAGCACTTTTAACAAATGACACAACAATTTATGCACCCACAGAAAAAAATGCAGCAGCAACGCGCCATTCGTTCGGTTTTTCATTCATTCAGCTAAGCGTAATATGCCATTTTTATAGAATGAGCGAAAAAAACCCTAACGCTAACAAACAATATCAAAAGTTGCAGCAGCAACAACAACAAAACAAAATTTACAAACGGATTGTTTGGTGTACTAACAACAATGACAATGGTGTTTTTGTCACTGCACTGTGGATGATGATGATGAGGACTACGATGGCGGCAACAAAAAGCATTCTGATAAACCTACTCATCACAAATGCAACTACCATAATGTGTTTTTGTTGAATAAGCTATAGTGGAGGTGGGTTAAAAATGTCGGGAATGGGAACCAAAAAAAAATCCACGTAACCACCTTGAAAAAATATTCTAAACAAATCCACGCCTATTGCAGTCCTTGAAAAAATATTCTTTTAAAAAATCCACGCCTATTGCAGTCCTTGAAAAAATATTCTTTAAAAAATCCACGCCTATTGCAGTCCTTGAAAAAATATTCTTTAAAAAATCCACGCCTATTGCAGTCCTTGAAAAAAATATAAAAAAAATCCACTCCTATTGGTAGTCCTTGAAAAAATATTCTAAACAAATCCACGCCTATTGCAGCAGTCCTTGAAAAAATATTCTTTTTAAAACCTCCCTTATGGAAAGCCATGGAAAGTTTTTTTTAAGTCCATGCCTATGAGAAGTCATTGAATATATATTCTTTAAAAATCGATGCATTTGGGAAGTCATTGAAAAAACATTCTTAACACATCGCTATCTATGGAAGGTCCTGGAAAAATATTCTATAGAAAGTCATTAATGAATGTAATGGAAATTCCCTGTTTTGGCTGATATTTTTATACCGATCCTATACAATAGAAATTTTAGGCTTTCTGTTTTGAATCCCAACCCCAATAAATGTATGGCCCCCGAAAATATTGTTATTTTCCCTTAGTTCTTTTCAAAGTTCTTTCCCCTCAACCCAACCATTTTTCTGGAACATCTAAAGTCTTGTATAATATCTTCAAAAGTTTTACAAGTACCATCATCGTCATAGTGATTATCGACACCGTATCATCGTCATCATCACAGACGACGTCGTCATCCTAGACATTGTCGTTGTCAAGCGTTACTAACACAGCCGCTAAAGTACTTTAAAGCACAACAAACTGCTACAGCAGGAGCAGAGGTAAAATTCAGCACTAACAACTATCCGAACATTATAACCAACACACACAGAGAGAGTGAACGAGTGATGCAACAACGATCATTCAACGACTAAAGAAACTGTGTCTGTAGTGGTAGACATTATAGATAATACCCCTGACTGGCTTTCAAAACCAACAAACAAAGGAAACCACTGTGTTGGTTATGTGGCATCATAGCTGCAATTTTGTATATATACACACGTGTGTGTATGTATATGTGTAGCACTGCTATACTTCATCTCCACTCTCTCCATTTGCTGCATGCAATGTGTTATGATGCCAGCCATGAATCTATCTAAAGCCGCCAAAGGATTCCAAACACAACCCCATTATTGCCTGGCTCACAAACGCCCAGTGCGTTAAGAACTTTTGAATGCAACAGCAATGTACTCATGGCCAAAGTACCATGCAACAACTTCATGCAACCACACACCAATACACAAACACAACATCGACAATATATATAGCAACAGATAAACAAATTTCCATCACAGAGAAAAGAGAATAACTAAAGAACCTCCTGCATAAATGACAGATAATTTTTGTACGGGTGTGTTAAATTATGTGGTAGATGTGTGTGTGTGTGGGTGTTCTGTGCGTGCATAGTTTTTAATTTGTAGTCCAAAAATGTGTACATGTAAAATAATTATCTATGTTGGTACATATGTGGCAGCAATATTTACATCATTGTTGTGATGATAAAGAGAGTAAAGCTAAAGCTTCATCACTTTTAGACAATGGATTTCATTGATGTGAACATCATATTTATTAAGGTAGTCGAGGTAGACCATAATCTATGGGGTATCTCCGTTGGGAGTCATTAGCAATTATTGTGGTTATATATAAAATAAATTTGGAATTTTTGATAGATAGTACAATACCAACATAATCTTGTGTTATTGAAATGTTCAACAATGTCTCTGTAGAAAGTTGTCATAAAGGAATAGGAAATTTGGCAAGCATAAAAATATGAATTTATTTAAATCGGTCAAAAATTTGGTTTTTTTTCTAACTATTCGGTTTAAAACTTAATGGAATCGGAGAATCATTTCTTAGGGAAATTATTCACAAAAAGTAAATAAATAATAAATAGTTTTATGCATTTTAGGGCGAAAGATCGATCGATCATGTAGATCATCTCGAAAAAGAAATAAATAACAACGTTTACATGAATAATATTTTGCCCTATCAAGGCATAAAACTCTGCCTTATTAAGAGACCTTGAAAAATATACTTTAAAATCATTGAAAAATATATTCGTAAAAAAATCTACTCTTTTTCCTTGAAAAATATTCTTTAAGAAATACA